TGGAGTTGGACCTTGTCAATTACACAGAACTGGTGTGCGTGGAATGGATATAAGGTGACTGTGGTGGACGGGAGGAGTCAGGTGTGTGTGTGTGTGTGTGTGTGTGTGTGTGTGTGTGTGTGTGTGTGTGAGAGCTGGGTGGCCATGTTGGCATTAGGGAGGGTGTTGTGTGCTGGGTCTGGGCTGGGTGCAGGGACTGTTGGACAGGTAGTTTGGTGACGGAATGTGGACACAGTGTGAATTGGGACCTGTTTTCAGACTCCTGGGGGAGGGTGTGTTTCCGGGTGCAGGAGGGCAGGTAACATCTGGGCGACTGAAGGCCCACAAGAGCTGGATCAGGTAGGAAAAGGGACTCACAATGATGGCCTTGCTCCCTCCCTAGTCCTCCAGTTGAAGCTGAGCACACTGCCTCTGCCCACCTCCTCGCTGTGTGTGGGGATCCTCCCCGCATCCGGACCCTCAGGTTCCAGGAAGCTGCTGACCCTGCAGACAGAATCAACCCACTTCCTGGAAGGGGTCCTGGCTGGAGAGAGTTTGGAAGGGGGAAAGGAGGACATCACAAAGTGTGTGCATCGTCTAGTTATTCATAGCACCTCCTAGGAAGGCCTCGTCAAACTGCACAGTGACAGCTGACAGGTTAGGAACTCAGCACCCTCGGGTGGGACAATGCAGTTGGAGTCCCCCCCTCCCGGTGCCTGGCAGTCCTCCTCCTTTTGCATTAAGACCGTGACTCCAGCAGCCAGGGCTGTATGATGAGTCCCCTCTGGGAACAGCAAGTCCCCGTCCCTCCATGCATCTCAGCGGATCTCGGGAGCTCCTGACTCTGCTCTCCTCACACTCCCTGACCCTCTGTTAATAACCTGGAGCTCGTCTTGCACAAATGGTGGAGTTGGTTTTTGTGCTACAGAGAAATGATCTGGAGCGAGGTGTCAGCACAATGTCCCCCAGCAGATGCTGCTCCTTTGATTTCAGAGATGTGCCATTTGGTTCTTTAACAACGTCCTAAGGCAGGTCCAAATGGATGGAGCAGCTTCAGGAGTCCGAAGAGAAACCAAGTGGGCAAAAATGGGTGTTGGGAACTGGCCCAATCCTAAAACACTGCAGACTGCAGCCACAGCCAAAGAGACCACCTGCAGAGAGGGCCGGCCTCCCTAGGGGGGCTGCACAGGAGGATGTTCATTCTAGTGTTGTTTACAGCAGTGAAATACAGGACTCAATGGAAATTCAGGAAGAGGGGACATGGTCATGGAAATGAGTTGGTAGGACATTTCATTGTCATTAAAAAATAAGGTCTAGGAAGAGTCTGGAACAATATGGAAAATATGACGTCAGAGCATGAAAGATAACCAGGCAGGGTTCCTGCATATCTCATGGAGCCCAAGGAGGAATGGAGTCTGCGCTATTTCTACCCGGCTCTAAACCAGAGGTGGTGAGCCTTTTCTGCCAAGGGCCACAGGGGGCACAGGGCTGGCTTCTGTACAGCAACTCAACCCTGCTGCCTACTGGGAAAGCAGCCGCGGGAAAGACACCACCAACCAATGCGCCTGGTTAGGTGCCAATAAAACTTTATTTGTAAAAACAGGCAACAGGTTGGATTTGTGTCCTGGGTCATTGCTTTCTGATCCCTGGTATAAATCTAAGTGACACTTTTTAAAGGGGGGGGGGACAATGACCTAGATTAAGTGCATCTCATAATGTTCTACCTTAGAAAAGCTCTTTCTAATCCCAGGAAGTGGGGTCCCGGGGTCCTGGGGGTCCTACTTGCCCCGAGGGCCAGAGACACAGGCAGAGCTGGCTAGTGGGGGTGACGCCCTCTCCTCTCCGTCTCAGCCTGTGTGTCCTGGCCTTCCTTCTCTCTGCCCGAGTCCTGCCAGGTGTCCCCGCTCCCCGCCCCGTCTATTCCAGAGGAAGGAAGGAGACCCGACCAGAGCAGACGGAAGGCCCGGATTTCATAGCAGAGGGCAGGGGACAGTGGCCTCTGCTCCACTTACATTGGATTTGAAGTCACCGGATGCAGGATGACCTGGGGCGCCCGGGTTGGCGTCTCTGGCACCGGCACTACATCTGAGCATGAAATCCAACAGTCAGAGACCAAACATGGAATGCAGACTGCCCCCCAGAGGCCGGACTCCTAATAACACTTCACCACATCGGGGGTCCCCGGGGCCGGCCCATCCCCTTTGTCCCTTCCTCAACCACTGGGACTTTACATGCTGAGATGACCCCCTGCGCACAGTCCACCACTGTGGTCTGGGGAGCTGCCAGAACCCCTAAGCATCTAGCAGGGAGGGCCTGTTGGTCACCTCTGAGTCTCCCTCACTCCTGAGTTCCCTTGGGGCGGGGGGCCAGTTGGTCTGGCATCTTCCAGCGAGGGCCTCTCTGACCGGCTCTCCCCTGCCACGTGGCCCCTCCTCTGCCTTCCATAGCAGATCACCCTCTAGGGCTTTTCATTGTGGTTGGGGACCATGTTGATCCCATGATGCCCTTGAGATCTCCCACCCTGATCTCCACTTCCACATCCAGACATGATCCTGGGGTGCGGGGACCCCCACTACCTCTTCCATGGGGTGCATCTCACCATTCCCCTCTGCCCATCCCCCAGCTGCTCCCGCCTGTCGGCAGGGCCGCCCACAAACGCGACACTCACCTGGGAAGATGAACTGCTGCTTGTACTTGTAGTAGTGAGAAGCTTGAGAGAGAGAGGGAGAGGAGAGAGAGAGTACTAGTGTGAGAGTCCCTACAGGTACCAAGATGGGCTCCTCCCACGTCCTCCACGTCTCTGTCCCCCCATAGTGCTTCCACAGGTACCCCAAATTTCAGGGGATTATGAACGTGTGTGAGGAGACCAGAACTCTAAGCACCCTGTCCAATGTCCCCGGGCAGGTCACTCACGCTCCCTAAAACCAGACCACTCCTGCTTGGCCAGTCGTCCCAACACAAAGCCGTGTTTTGTTAAACGCATAATTACAAACAACAGAGTCTGTAAAGCCACAATCCAAAATATGAATTCTTTGCCTTTTGGCAGAATGATGACCATGACTTAAAAAGAAAACAAAAGAAAGAGCATGCCCGCTGTTCCTGTGCTTTCTAAATTTCCACACTGAGCACCAAGACCTTGGCTTTTCCGTTGCTGTCGTACATGACTGCAAACTCGTGGATTAGAACAACCTCAGTGTGGGGTCCTCTTCCAGTCGGGAGCTCCCAAGGCCGGAGCGAGCCTTGAAGGCTAGAATTGAGGGCTCTGTTCTTTCGGGGATCCCTGGAGACTCTGACCCCCGGCTCCTCCAGCTGCTTGAGGCCGAGGGCTCCCAATCTCATCCCTCCAATCTCTGCTTGTGCCCGACATCACTTTCTACTGCCGGTGACCTTCCTGCCTCCCTGGGATAAGGATCGCTGTGATTACATGTAGGGCCACCAGGATAATCTGACATCTTGAGATCTGTGACTTAATCACATCGGCAAAGATCCGTTTTGTCGTGTCCAGTAGCAGATTCGCAGACCCTGGATTAGGACAGGGGCTTTTTTTTTTTTTTCCTGAGAGAGACATTATTCTACTTAACACAAGCGTAAGTGAAACCTGAGTTTAGGAAACAGTTATGTACAAGAAATGGCCAGGACTGTGCTGCTGAGTCTCCACCAATTCCTTTGCTCCTTGGTCCACTCACAGGGCTCAGGGGGCTCAGATACTAGGTTTCTTACTTTCTTTTTTTTTTAATACATTTTTTTGTTGTTGTCAATGGATCTTCATTTTATTTATTTATGTGTGGTGCTGAGAATTGAACCCAGGGCCCCCCACATGCCAGGCAAGTGCTCTAGCACTGAGTTGCAGCCCCAGCCCCAGATACTAGGTTTCCAATTTACCTCTTATTTCTTTGGGGTACAGTGTCTGAGAAGAGGGAGCAGGCCACACAGTTTTAGATGCCCTCATAAATGAAATGGACAGAGATGGGGTTAGGTATGAGTCTGAGCTGCCAAATCCACTTCCAGAAACTGTTTGATGACGCCCAGCGACGAGCTGCCCCTCAGAGCTGGCCCACCGAGGGTTAGCCCGGGGGTTCTGAGCCCCCTGGTTCTGAGCCTGGGGTTGAGAAGGCGGCCCTGCAGGATGGAATCCCGTCTCTGCTGTGGGTTCCTTGCCAAAGCCAAAGCAAATCTCTGTGAATTGCAGGGTCCTTGCACAAAACAAGGTCAATAACTGTCCTTTCCACACAGGGCTAGGACCCTTGTTCCCAAGGAGCATGTCGTAGGTGCTAAATAAGAACAGTCAGCCCCCCCCCCCCGGGGCACCCAGAGGTCCCACATCAATAGATGTGACTAATCCAGGATTGGAAATATTTGAGAATAAATGGCATCTGTCCTGAACATTACTGAACATGTTCAGACTTTTATCCTTGTCATTATGCCCTAAGCAATGTAGCAGAACCACAATTTCCACAGCGTTTGCATTGTATCAGGCATTATGAGTCATCTAGAAACGATTTAAAGTCTATGAGAGAATGCGCGCAGGGGCCACGCGGATACTGAGCCATGTGACATATGACACTTGGGCATCCATGCATCTGGATGTTCAAGAGGGTCCTGGAACCCCAGGATCCTGAGGGAGGCATGTATTCGTTGCATCGAGTGAGCAGACGCTTCAAAAAGCTCTCAACTCAGGGACGAGCAGGATCGATGATCAAGGCAATCAGATAGCTTCACACACTGAGTCCTTTGTTTGGGGGAAGGAAATAAAACACCCCAAGGGGTTGGAACTGATTCACAAGCTCCTTCAGGACAGAGAGTCAATCCCAGCGTCTCAGGATCCCAATCCGTGCACACACACATGTGCAACACACACCTGTGGCAACACACATCTGAGCCTCTTTGATCACAGAGAAAACAGCAGCAACTTTTAGGTTAGACCATTTGCAGATGACTTCAGGGAGCTGAAGTCCAGGTGGATTTGGGCTCTGGAAAACGGGGTGTCCAGAGAGCAAACAACTCACTCCGGGTTCCAGAGCAGAGCTCGCAAAGAGACAAAGACCTGCACGACTCTACTCCAGGGGCTGTTTTTTTTCCCCCGTTACATAACCTAGGTTTCTGATGGCATGCAGCCATTTTGCCAACAAGAGGCCAAGATTTAAAAAAGGACAAACTCCTCTCAGGCGGCTTAGCTGATCTGTTTCCCCCGAGCTCTGACGGGGCTGGGAGCATCCTGGGTCTGCAGGAGAGATTAGCTGGTGGTCAAGTTCCCCTAAGAAGGAGGGGCTGGGCTGTGGCGCGAGAGCTGTCTGGGAAGTCTGAGGGCCTGGCCTGGCAAGGGGCCACCCCCCAGATGCCTCCATGCCCCAGGTCAACCCCAGCCTTGACCCTTCCCTGGGCCACAGGACAGCTCGTTCCTGATGACTGAAAAATGATGAGAAGAGAAAGTGTCCCAGGAGACCTGCTCTTCTGTGGCTAAGTCACCACACAGAAGCAGGGATACACCTGAGCGGGCAGCCGGGCAGCCGAGCTGCTCCTGGCTTCCTGGCGTCAGAGAGGAGTTGGGGCCCTGGAGCCACAGAGGGGTGGGGGGAGAAGTCGGTGACAAACCTTCACACCTATATTGACTTGGTTCACACCTGTCCCTCCTGCTGAGCCACAGACCCCATGATAAGAGAGATTGTTGGGGACAGAATAATGTCCCCATCCAAAAGATGTCCCTGCCCTGATCCCTGGACATATTACCTTTGATGGCAAAAGGGACTTGGAAAAGAGCCTTGGGATGGGGACATTGTCCCGATTCCCCGGGAAGAGCTCAATGTCAATTACAAGGTCCTTGTAAGAGGGAGGGCAGAGGGTCAGAGTCAGAGAGAGGCAGAGGAGATGCGGTAAGGGGCAGAGCTGGGCCGTGAGGGCCCCACAGAGGAACAGGCCCAGCCTCCAGAGGCCGAGGAAGGCTAGAGCTGCAGCCTCCTCCGCAGCCTCCCGAATGAACCAGCCACGCTGGCACCTGGAGTTTTATCCAAGTGACTCCAGGCTGCACATTCAGAGCTGGGTCCTGGCATGGCGTTGATGGAGAAGGCGGCCCTGCTCAGGTGGGTGTCTCTCAGACCCCAAGAATCACGCTGTCTGTTTCAACACATTTAACTCATAGGACAGGCACTGGTTCCAGAGTAGAGGGTCCCCTGCAACTTAGGTGAAGCTACCGGGTGCTGTTGACCAAAAGACCATCTCTAAGAGTCCCTGCAGCCCCCTGTGCCTCAGTTTCCTCATCTTTGAAATAGACCTGTATACTTCCTCCTGGTTCCTCTAAAGAGCAAATAAAGTCACATATGACGATTGCCCTGCATATGGCAAAGGTTTACCATGGCTATGAGCCTCCCTGGCCCTCTCTGGTCATCAGCCCACTGCCTTCCAGCAAGGACCAGCCCCATCCCAGCCTTGGCATGGACCCCACCCCTCCTTCACCTCTGTGCCACCAATGCTCTGTGACTGGCATCTCCCTGAGCCTGGAGGTACCTGGCAGGTTGAAGTTCTTCTGCTGCCTCGTGCACTGCGGGGAAGGGTGCAGGGGAGAAGGCGGCGTGGCGCTGGGAGGGAGCGGGGGTGCTGGTGAGGACGGCGTGGACGACGTCGTGGATGAGGGGTTGCTGCTGGAGTCTGGCTGGTAAGGGACAGGGATGTGGTCCTGCAGAGAGAAAAGAGGGCAGGGGTCAGGACCGGGCAGGGAATCAGAGACAGCAGAAAGAGTGAGCTGAGCAGGAAGGAGCCCCCACCCCCAGCTTCCTCAGCAGCTCCCGCCCCTTTCCTGCTGTCCCCAGGTCCCTCCAGGGTCCCAGCTGTTTCATCAGCTCTACCAGTTGGCATCCAGCTGTGGAAGGAATGGCATCCGGAATCAAACCCCTGGGCACTGCTTGGACCCCAGAGTGAAGGGTTGTTGCATAATGAAAACTACACAGGTGACAGCCACGTGGCCCGTGCCTCTTTGATTCTGGAAAGCCCCATGTGGAGGTGCCCAGAAGACACTCCTCATCCTAACACCTCTCCTCCTGAGTGTTTATTAAAGAATCAGCAGCCCGACAGCGGCCGAGAGCGAGAGCGAGAGCCTCCAGCATCTCTGCCCACGTCCTGGCTGGAATCTGCACCCCCTCTCCTTGCCGGAGACCAGCTCCACAGCGAGGCGAAGACAGGATCCAAGTGTGCATCCTCAGATGGCCTTGGGGGGCAGTTAAGAGGACGAGGTAGTGGAGAGAATGGTGTCCCCATCCCCCAAAGACAGGTCATTCCGAAATTCAGAATCCAGTCGTATTAGGAATAAGGGTCTTTGCAGATGTAATCAAGGTAAGGGTCTCCAGGAGGGACCATCCTGGATGAAATCCAACGACAGATACCCTTATAAGGGACAGGTGAAGGACAGGCACAGAGGTCAAAGCCAGGTGAAGACAGAGGTGGAGACGGGAGGGAGGAAGCCATCGTCAAGGATTGCTGGGGCCACCTGAGAGGCCACTGAGAGTCCAGCAGGCACCTCTGGTGACATTTTGCCATTTCTCAGTGGTGTTCTGTGACACAGATGGACCACAGTGTGTTTAACCACTACCTACTAAGCTGCTTCCCGTCATTGGCTACTGTGGACCAAGCTGCTATAAACATTTGTGCACAGGTTTTAAGTACAACAATCTTTTATTGGACTGGAATAAAGGCCCAGGAGTGCAATTTCTTGATAATGTGGTAATGACATGATTCGTTTTCAAAGAAAATGGGAAAATGGTTCTCCAGGGAGGCTGTACCGCTTTGCCCCTGCAGGCCACGAATCCCTGATTTTCTCAGTATCCTAACCAGGGCTTAGCTTCGTCACCATTTCTCTTTTATTCTGATAAGAGTGTACTGGTATCTCATTATGCATTTAATTTGCATTTACCTAATGGCTAATGACACGGAATGTCTTTCATGTGCTTATCTGCCATCTGTATATGCTTTATGGTTTTGATGACTGTAGCTGTATAAGAAGCTTTGAAATGGGGTAGAATTTTTTTTTTCAATTTTATTCTCTTTTCAAAAGTGGGATTTTTTTTCTAGTCTAGTTCCTTTGGCTTTTCATATAACTTTTATTAGACGGTCTTGTATTTACCTACAACAAATCTTGCTGGAGTTTTGGTAGGAGTTGTACTAACCCTATGTAGCCATTTTGTGGAGAATTGACTTCTTGACTATGTTGGACCTTACAATCCATGAACATGGTATATATTTTAATTTCCTAGGGCTATTACCATCAATTGAGTGGCTTTAAAAAAAAAACAACATGAATTTATTCTCTCCCACTTCTAGAGGCTCCACATCTGAAACCCAGTTCCTAGCAGAGCCACGTCTCAAGCTCCCCCTGAGACTTTAGGTAGACCCTTCCTTGCCTCCTCCGGGCCTCTGGTGATGTCGCGGTTCTTGGCATCACCTGGCTTGTAGCTATAACATTCCAATCTCTACCTTTTTTGTCACATGTGCTTTTCCTGTAGATCTCTGTTTGTCTTCTCCTTTTCTAATAGACATGAAAGTCATACTGGGTGAGGAACCACCACTATGACATCATCTGACCTAGACTACATCGGCAAAGACCCTTTTTACAAATAGGGTCACATTCACAGATCCAGGGGGTCAGGACTTTGTCTTATATTTGTAGGGGACAAAGCATGATTCCCAAAAGTATGTCCCTCCATTTCTATAGGTCTTTGTTTCCTTT